TGGGTTCAGATTACAGACTGTCTTCAAAACAAAGCAAATTCAAGCTTAATTTTGTTACTAACTGTAATATGGGATGCTTCTAAAACAATGAAATATAACATAGTCTGAAAGTGAAGTTTGAAGACTATTAGCTATGCAGCATCTGACTTGAGACAGGTAAAGGCTGGAGTCATAAAGCCAGTTTTGAGTGTGTTTCACAAATATCTAGGCAGGAAGTGATCTGGAGTTGACAGTACTGTGAAGTTGAACGTTGACACAGATTTTGAAAAGTTTTCCCAAGGCTTTTGCTATTAAGCTTTTACATGAATGAATTGTGGTAATGAGTACAACTTGAAGAAAAAGAATTCTGTTTTCCTGATAAACTGATATAAGACTAGTAAGAGTTGGACTTGAGGTAGTAAGGTGTAAGATCCATTAATATGAATTTTTAACTTTGTACGTAGCTACTCATACCAGCACCCACAGCCTCCATAAGGAGCAGAAGTGATACATTAATAGGAAATGAATCATTTTCCCTTATATAAATGAATTGTTGCTTTTGTTTTATGCCTTTATATTATACTGATTGAGTACCTGTGGAGTCCTTTTACAATTATTTGGAGAGGGTGTGTATGTGTATGCGTATGTGTGCCACAGATGCATGTGGAGGCCTGGGGTTAAAATAGGGTGTGTTTCTCTATCATTCTCCACCTTATTTTTTTGAGCCAAGTCCCTCTCTGAACCTGAACTTACCAATTCAGCCACCATGCCCAGCCTTTATATGGGCGTTGAGGATCCAAATTCAGGTCCTCATGCTTGCCTGGCATTTAAAATATATTAGGAAATTTAAGTCTGATTGAGTTAATCTTTTTTTTTTTTTTTTTTTTTTTTTTTTTTTTTTTTGAGACAGGGGTCTCCCTATAGCCACAGCTGGCCTATAACTCACTATGTAGACAAGGCTGACCTCCATTTCACAGAGATTCTCCTGCCTCTGCCTCATAAGTGCTTGGATTAAAGACATGCACCTCCATGTCCTGAAAGATCCTTAACTACATCTGCAAAGTTCTTTTTGCCACATAAAATGGTATATTAACAGGAGTAGGGGATTAGGGTGTGAACATCTTTTGAGACAGGGGTCTCCCTATAGCCACAGCTGGCCTATAACTCACTATGTAAACCAAGCTGGCCTCAGTCTCACAGAGATCTACCTGCCTCTGCCTTCCAAGTACTGGGATTAAAGATGTGCCCCCTCACACCCAGCTTTGAGTTAACTTTTTTTAAAATTCATTTGTGTGTAAAATATAGGGTAAGTTTTTAAAAGAACTTATTCATGTTCTTTCAATGTCATTAACCTAGTTAATGTTTGCATTTTCTTGATCACCTTGTTTCTTACAGTTTGAATTGGAATTCAGTTCTGCATGTCTGTATGTTTGCAAATGATGGGCATTGCTTTCAGTTTCTTCACTTCCCTTAATTTTTAAGAACTTGAATTGTTTTGATCTTAAGAGTTTCTAATGTCTCTGTATCTTATGCTGCTTAGTTTGGAGAATTTTAGGCACTCAAGTGGTCCCTGTATGTTTAGAACTCAGCATATGTTTAGCACATATTCTCTCCCAACCTGTAGCCTGTCTTTTCTTTCTCTGAAGTGGGATTGAGATAGGTCGTGTAGCCCAGGCTACCCTCAAAACTCTTTTTTGGAGCCAAGAATATCTTGAACTTCTGATCCTTTTGCAAACTCCACCTCTCCATTGCTAGCATTTGTAGGCATGCAGTACCATTCCTGGTGCAATGGTTTATATGTTTCTGGAGGTTAAATCCAGGGCTTCGTGCCTACTAGGCAAGCACTCTACCAACTGAGCGAGATCCCAGGACCCAGATAAATGTTTTCTTTTCCTTTTTTGGTGTTGGGACTTAAACATCAAGCTTCACACGTGATAGGTAAGCACCTTATCAGCTGATCTGTATTCTGAGCCCCAAGATGGTTATTTTCTTTCTTTTTTTAATGTTTTATTATTTTTATTTTATGTGTATGCGTGTATTGCTTGCATGTAAATAAGTGCACCCATGTTGTGCAATGCTCGTGGAAGACAGAAGAGGCTGTTGGATCCCCTGGAACTGGAGTTACAGACAGTTGTTAGCTGCCATGTGGGTGCTGGGATTCAAACCCCAGTCTTCTGCAAGAACAGTTAGTGTTCTTAACTGCTGAGCCATCTCTCCAACCCCCCAAGATGAATATTTTTAAACTAAAAGCTTAAAACTGAGATTAAGAACCCAGCAGTTGGACCAAGTGTGGTAAAGCATGCCTTTAATCCCAGCTCTCAGGAGGTAGAGGCAAGTGAGTTGGAAGCCAGCCTGGTCTACATAGTGAGTTTCAGGCCAGTCAAAGCTATATAGTGAGACTCTCTCTGGAGGAAAAACAAAACAAAAGTCAACAGTTTAGTTGTTCAGTTACAAGTTGAAAACAGGATTTTTTATTTATTCATTTTTGAGTTTCCTGTCAGTAGGCCAACACTTTGGAGAGTCCCACAGTGAGTTCTTGAGGCAAAAGGAAAAGTAAGAAGCATAAAGAAGTGGGAAGGGCAGTAAAAGTAAGTAAGTCTTCAGATGTAGCAAAATGAACCACTTAAGGTGTTTATATGGAGGATTAAAATGCTTAACATCAGTAGTACAAAGATAACGTACAAGTAAATGATTTTAGTTTTCTATAGTTCTTTAATTATCTAATTTATATATTCCTACTTGTAGATTTTTAGGGCAAATAAAGGACAGTAGCATGATACATAAATAACAGGCTAATACAGGGGAATATTAAATTGTGTGTGTGTGTGTGTGTGTGTGTGTGTGTGTGTGTACACATGCTGGGATCAAACCCAGGCCTCATGCATGCTAGGACTTACCACTAAGCTACATCCCCAACATTTATAAAACATTTAGCTCAAAAGAGGGCGAGGGGGCACTGAAAATGATGGCTTAATGGGAAATTATAGTGACTAATTTAAATCCTCAAGATGGTTCAGCAGGTTAAAGCATTTGCCTTGCAAGCCTGACAACCTGAGTTTGATCCCCAGAACACATAGTAGAGAGAGAGATCTGATTGTTGAAAGTTGTTCTTTGACATCTACACATGTGTTTTGACACACATGTGCCTGCATGTGTGTAAGTGCATCCATGTTGTGCAGTGCCCAAGGAGGTCAGAAGAGGGCATCGGATTCCCAGGAACTGGAGTTATGAACAGTTGTTAGCCGCCATGTGGGTGCTGGGAATTGAACCTGGGTCTTCTGCAAGAACGTCAGTGCCCTTAACTGCTGAACCGTCTCTCCAGCTCCTATGATAAAAAATTTTAAATGTAAACAGTCTTGGATACTGATTGAAAATATGGTCAGATCTGATTTTTTTTTTAACTCAGTTATATACAGCTTATAAAAATGGTAGATTCAAGTTTAGGATACAGAAAAGTTTAACATTAAAAAGAGATTTAAAAAGGGCCAAGTTTTTTTGTTTTTTATTTCTGTTTTGTTTTACAGTGCTGAGAACAAAACCTGGGGCCTCACAAATGCTAAGCAAGCACGCTACTACTGAGCTATACTTCAGATCCTTAGGGGATAGAAAAAAGAATGTGAATAAGCGAAAATAGATCTCCTCCATCATATGGCAATTGTCTTTCCTGTGAGGACTTTCTATAGACTAGGTGGGGATGTGTAAAGTCTTTTATAAAATAATACTTTATAACAGGTTAAAGTACCTTTGCTTTGTTATTTACTTTCGGAAATCTCATTATGTATCCCAGTCTACCCTGGAACTCAGAATCCTGCCTAAGCCTCTCCAGTGCTGATTATAGGTATGTACCACCACACCCAAGTTTCCATTGCTTTTGTGGACGGTGTGTTTTTAACTAGGGAGATCGCATAAGGCGATAGTGTTCTGCTTTTTTTTTTTTTCCTTTTTGGGACAGGGTCTCCCAGTAGCACCAGCTAGCCTGGAATTTGCCATGTAGACAGGCTGGCTTTGAACTCACAGAGATCTGTCTGCCTCTGCCTCTGCCTCTGCCTCTGCCTCTGCACTAGGATTAAAGGCATGCGCCACCACGCCTGGCTCCTGCTCTGCTTAGGTTTCATTTAGCTTCTTAGGAAGTCTCAACTTTCTGTCTGTCTGAAGGAAGCTATTTAAATGATTAATTAAAATTTGACTCAGATCTGATTCACTCAAAATTGGTTAGTTTTTCTAGACAACCAAAATTGAGGTCATTTTGAACTGAAATTGGCATTCTCTCCATAGACTAATGTAGTGGAGTGGTGTGCATAATATAATCTTTCAAAATTAACTAGACTTAAGGGCACAAAATGTGCTTTTCACATGTTGAATGAAAAAATGATATAGTTATTTGATAGAAATGTCTAGACCTTCTTTTCTCTTTAATTCTGGGAATTTTATTTTATTTTTAGTCTTTGTAAGACAGGGTCTTCCTATAGCCCCAACTGGCCTGGGAATTGCCATGTAGACCAGGCTGGCCTTGAACTCATAGAGATCCACCTGCCTCTGTGCTGAATGCTGAGACTGAAGGTGTGTGCCACTACTGACTGATGCTGGGAATTTTAAATAATACCATTCTCATAAATTTTACCTCATAGTAACAAAACCATATATTCTTGTATGTTCTTCTTAAGGTAATTTTTAATATTTTTAACTTTTAATTTTGTGTATATTGGGGGAATGCTCATGAGTGCAAGTACTCACAGAAGCCAGAAGATGGTATTAGGTCCCCTGGAACTGGCATCAAAGGCAGTTGTAAGCTGCCCCATGTAGGTGCTGGGGATCAAACTCAGGTTCTCTGGAAGAGCAGTAACTGCTCTTAACTGATGAGCCATCTCTCCAGCCCCAGTTGCATATTCTTTTTCATTTTTCTCTGAGCAGGTTGTTCCTTCCAGGAGCTGTTGATGAGATTTAAGAGTATACTTTATTATTTGAGTGACGGCCATAAGTTAATAGATTAATGGTAGGTTTTGTTTTGTGTTGTTTAACAGACAGTGAAATCAGCTGTGCAGACCATCACTGTTGGAGGAGTGAGCACATCACAGTTTAAGACAATTATTCCTCTGGCTACTGCTCCCAATGTTCAGCAGATTCAAGTGCCTGGAAGCAAGTTTCATTATGTCCGACTTGTTACTGCCACAACAGCCAGTAGCTCAACCCAGCCAGTTAGTCAGAATCCCAGTATAAACACTCAGCCTCTCCAGCAAGGTCGGTAATCATTTTTTTTAATAGTAACAAATGCTTTTAACATCATTAAAGAACATTGGTCCTTTAAAAAAATAGTCTGGCATTCCATCTGAAAGTATAAATCAGCAACTGTTACAGATGACAGTGGCATAGAATCACAGTTGTGTATAACTGTATCATATTCTATTTGAAGCTGGTAGCTAGAGGTGTGCCATGATACCAGATAATCACAAGTATTGATTAATTTGTGGTTAACTGCTAGTTTAAAGCCCTAGATTTAGTCGGGATAGATTTAGTTGTGACCAAATGATTTATTTAATTTTTGGTAAGGCTTGGGTCAGTTGAAATGACAACTAGTCAATATAGAAATAATAACATCACATTAGTTTCATCTTATTTTGAATAATACTTTTTTTTAAAAACTGTAATTGGTAAGGCTTCTCAGTTGATAGAGTACTTGACTTGATGCACAAAGCCATAAGTTTGATCCCCAGTATCAAAAACTGGTTGTAGTTGTCATGCCTGTAAACCCAGCCCTTGGGAAGTAGAGACAGGAGCATCAGAATTTCCAGATCACCATCTTTTTTATATTAATTTCTAGGTCACCTGCAATGGGATTCTAACCCCCACCTCCAATGCACCAAGAAAAAAAAAAAAAAATGCTTCCTACTACCTGGTACATTTACATGGACAAAATGGATAACTTCTCTCACATTTTTTGCCCACTTTTTTAAAAAGTTGAGTGAAGTGAAAGGATCAGAATAGTTTATAGTTTACAGTCTGTGTTTTTCTTTGGAAGACTACTTTATGTTCCAGCAATGTCTAATTGAAGAAATAAGGATGTGCTTCAGTGGGAGAATGCTCAACATGAATAAGGCCTCAGATTTGATCCACAATATCACAACCCAAATAAACAAAGAAGTAAATGGGACAATTAAAGGCTAATTAGTTTTTTTCTTCAAATTACATTTGGGGCAGGGGAGGGCACACTTGATCAAAGGACAGCCTGAAGGAATTGGTTCTTTGCTTCCATCATGTGGTCCTGGAGATCAAATTCAGGTTGTTAGGCTTGGCAGCAATTTCCTTTACCTGCTGAGTGAGCCATCTCACTGACCTTATCAGAGCTTTCTTAATGAGAAGATAAATGAAACTTGCATATCATAAAGGAGTCAAGTTTTATATTCTCTCAATACTAAAACTTCACAGGAATAAGTTGAATCTATGTGGATATTGTGGTGATATGAAACACTTGCTAGATACTCTTGGTTATATTTTACGAGTGTTTGTATGTGTACAGAATGACAATAACTCATTTCTAGTGCAGCGCTAATGCTGTTTTACTGGTTGGTACAAGAAAAAAGAAGCTGAAGATTCAAAAAGGAGGAAGAATGGGTTTGGACATACTACAATCCTAATGTATTATCAGTACCTTCTTTTCCAACTTAAAGTCTTTCTGCATTTCTCTACTTCTTTGGGTTGCTTTCTGCTTCCAAACTTCTTTGCCTCTCTCTTGTCCCCTCTGTCTCTCTCCAGCTACCCTGTTCTCTGCTCTCTTCCAGTACATTCACATACACATAACTACCCATCTCTTGTATGAATCTGAATTTTTTTCACTACTCATCTTTCCTGTTTTGCAAAAGATCTGCATGTTCGTATTATTTGATAGGAATATTGAGTTAAAGTTAAAATTTTAATAAATATGCTAAATAGTAGTTCTACTTTGTCAAATATATTGTAAATTTGAGTGCCTGTGTTTTCGAGGGGTTTGTGTGCAATGCATGTTTGCGCATATATATATATATATATATATGCGCAGAGCAGGTAGGAATACTCACCTATCAGATGTGACAGAGCAGGTCACAGCCCTTGAATATTCTCTTCCTGAGTACCAGGAAGTTCTACCATTCTATGCTGCCTGTTCTATGTGCTCACAGGTTGGTGACCATCATCTTCTCTCTCCAAAGAGCAGGCGCTAGAGGGCACCTGTTCTCCTGTGTCTCCCATAGGAACTTAGCCTTTAATTCTAATGTCAATGGGACAGGTATAACTTTACTCATCTTTTGGTGTAACTGAGGAGAATCAACTAGAACAGAAATAACTTCAAATCAGACGTCACTGCTCATACATTATTTTTGATTGATTGATTGATTGATTGACTGATTGACTGATTGATTGATTGACTGATTGATTGGTCTTTTTTGAGACAGGGTCTCCCTGTAGCCCCAGCTGTCTTGGAACTCACTGTGTAGACCAGGCTGGCCTTGAACTCACAGAGATCCGCCTGCCTCTGCCTCCCAAGTGCTGGGATTAAAGGCGTGTGCCACCACACCCGACCCCATGCATTATTTTTGTATAACTATTGAAATTTTTATGTACACCATAAAATTCACTGTGTGTGTGCATGTTTGTGTGTTTGAGTACAGACACACACATGCTACAAAGCACATATAGAGGTCAGGGGACAATCTTGGATGTTGGGTTTCGTCTTGTACCTTGTTGGAGGCTCCTATTGTAACTGGCCCCTTGCACATCCATGGATTTTCCTATCTCTGCCTCCCATCTTGCTGTAGGAGTGCTGGAATTGCAAGTGCATGGTACCACATCTGACTTTTTGGGGGTCTGAGGTCCTCCTGCTTGTGCAGTAAGTACTTTAACCATGAGCCATCATCTCCCAGCCCAGTCAGAGCTGTACAGTCGTCACCATTGATTGTGCTTCTTTCGGGTAGTCTCCTGTGCTCCCCTGTTCTCCCATTTGGTCACCTTGTGGCAGCAGCCTGCTCTTGTGTAATTCAGAGTACCTTCTCTTAGAGCTGTCATCGAGGACCATGAACATGTTTGTCTTTAGCCAGTAATTCTCCAGTCTTCATCAAAAGTTCCCAAAGAGAGGGAGGGAGGGAGGGAGGGAGGAGGTAGAGGGAGGGAGGGAAAGTAGGGAAAGGGAAAAGGAGACAGACAGATGAGAAAAAAAAATTTGTTGCTATCATGATGGCCTTACTACCCAAAGAAGTCTTTTATGTATTGTACAGAGCGGGTTTTATCCTAGTATCTTGGTCTTTCTTTCAGACCAGGCTTCCAGCTTTACTCTTGCATAAATGAAACCCAAAGCCATACGTTCTGTCTTCCTAAATTCCCTTCTTTAAGGCTGTTGAAATGGCAGCAAGCAGTTTTCAGAATTATACTTCATTGGTTTTGGACTGAATTCTTTAGTCTGGTGCCAACCTGTTTCCTGAATTCATCACATTGTTGCTCCATGTCAGGTTTCATCCTCCCTGAAAATCAGCTCACCCTTGAGTTTTTAGTTCCAGTAGCTATCCTTTCTTTGGAAAACTCTACAATGACATGACCTTTCTTCCTTTGTACCTTCTATCCCTACCACTCGGGTTTGTAAGTCCTTTCCTTTCACCTCTGCCAGATCTCTGGCATCTGCTTTTTCCCTTTCATCCTACTAGCCGGCACCCAACTCCCTAACTACTTGCATTCTTCTCCCTTGTCTTATTTCTTGCATCCTGATTTTATTTTATTTTTATTATTTTCTTTCTTTTTTTATGTGTTTGAATATTATTCCTGCATGTATGTAAGTGCACCTGTGTCATGCAGTGCCCTCAGTGGTCAGAAGAGGGTATTGGATCCCCTGGAACTGCACTTACAAAAGGTTGTTAACCACCTTGTGGGACCCAAACCCCATCCTCTGCAAGAACAGCCAGTGTTCTTTACCACTGAGTCATCTCTGTAGCCCCATTGTTTTGATTTTTTTTTTTTAATGTTTTTTGGCCTTTAATCCCAGCAATCGGGAGGCAGAGGCAGGCGGATCTCTGTGAGTTCAAGGCCAGCCTGATCTACAAAGTTAGTTCCAGGACAGCTGGGGCTACAGGGAGACCCTGTCTCATTGGTCTTTATGAGACAGGGTCTCCCTGTAGCCCCACCTGGCCTGGAACTCAAAATAGACTAGGCTGGCCTTGAACTCACCTCCCGAGTACTTGGATTAAAGGCCATGAGCCACAATGCCTGGCTCTGATTTTGTTTTTTTATATACTGCTACCAAATAAAATTTTTGTTGTGCTATTCCAATATTTCTGCACTTCAACATCCCCAGAAACTGGGGCTGTAACTATCTAACTCCAGTTCCAAGGGAGCTGATGCACTCTTCTGGCATCTCTGGGCATTGCATGCATATGGATACATGTGGATGAAACACTCATACACATAAAATATAAATAATTTATCTCCAGAAAATTCTCCTTATAGAATTAATATACAGAATAAATATGCAAGTTTCTACCTTAACATTCAAGGTCCTCAGGTAAATGTCTGCAATCTGCTTTTTTTGTATGTTTGCCTACTTTAGGCCTGGGTTCCATCTAACTGGTCTGTTCACTAGCATGCTGTGACTATGCCTTGCGGGCTGTACTTCTCTGTCTGCATGGAAGCCCTGCTGCAGTCTATGTGCCTTCTCCACTGTCTGTCTAATGATTAGGGCCTACCTCGATGTGTCCTCTATGCACGCCTTCCATGTTCTCATTCTCTACCAATAAATGTATATTCTCTCTCCTTGGAAATCTCACAGCAGTTTATCTGCTTTAATAATAGCTTTCTTGGCCAGGCATGGTGGCACATGCCTTTGATCCCCCAGCTCTTGGGAGGCAGAGGCAAGCAGATCTTTGTGAAATCGAGGCCAGCCTGGTCTACATAGCGAGTTCCAGGACAGATGGGGCTACAGGGAGACCCTAACTCAAAAGAGAAAGGGAGGGATAATAAAAAAAAAAAAATTAAGTAGGTCTTTTAATTGGGTACTTGCCTAATCTGTTGGAGAATGTAATCTTTTTTTTTTTTTTTTTTTTTTTTTTTTTTTTTTAAAAAAAAAAAAAAAAAAAAGAGGACGATAAATCTTTCACTGTGTATATCAAACTGGCCTTGAACTCTTAGAGATCCGCCTGTGTCTGCCTCCCGAGTGCTGGGATTAAAGGCGTGCACCACCACGCCCAGCGGAGAATGTAATCTTGACTACAGGTGCCTTATAGTTTCATTTCTTTGGGATCATATATAGTAGCAGTGGTTACAATAATGATGGCAGCTAACATTTATTGAGCACTTACTATTTGTTGGGCACTATCCTAATGTACTTTAATGAATTAACATATTTAATCCTGTACTACATTAGCGGAGTTATTGCCCATACCATATTGTAGGCAAAGAGAATCTAAGTTGTTAGAACTTGGCAGAACTGGGATTTGAATCCCCTGGGTCTTCTGATTTTAAAACTCATATTCTTTTTTATTATTACGTTTGTGTGTGTGTGTGTGTGTGTGTGTACATGCCACAGTTTTGTGGAGGTCAGAGGACAATTTGCAGGAGTGGGTTCTTTTCTTCCACCATGTAGGTCCTGGGTATTGGACTCAGTTTTTACCCACTAAACTAACTCACTGGCCCAAGAACTTATATTCTTTGTTTGTTTGTTTGTTTGTTTGTTTGTTTGTTTTTGAGACAAGGTCTACTATGTAACCCTAGCTAGCCTGGTACTCGCCATGTAGACCAGGCTGGCCTCAAACTCAGATCCTCCTGCCCCTGCCTCTGAAGTGCTAGGGTTAAAGGTGTGCGTCATGACACCTATATTCTTTACTTTTATGCCCTACTGCCTTTTAATATTTGTTCCATAAATATTAAGTTGTGTAAGCATGTTGTTTTCTCTGGCTTGAAGGGAAACACAGAAATTAGAAATTGTAGCATAGAATAGTGCTACTACCTAAACTTATAAATAGCAGTAGATTTAATACTTGACTGTGTAAGGCTTTTGTGTATACAGACTGAATGAATTTCAACAGGATGCTTTGAACCTACAGCTACTCCCTCATAAAGTAGGTAGATCAGTCTCATTAGATACAAGTTTGCTGGTAGGTGTTATAAGCAACTTTGAAAAATAACTATCCTGATTAAAGACTGCTCAACAAGAAGCAAGTGGAATGCTTTAAGCTGTTTCTTAAGGATAAGTTGAGGGATAAATATTCTTAAGTGTTTTGAGTATTATTTTCTGTAAGTAAATTGTTCATATTTTTTTCTTTTAAAAAGCAAAGCCAGTGGTTGTTAATACAACCCCAGTGCGGATGTCGGTTCCATTTGTCCCAGCTCAGGCTGTCAAACAAGTGAGTATCATAACTTTTCAGTTTTTCCCAAAGGACAGTTACTTTTTAAACTCAAAGTTAAGGTTTACGACAAGAGATTTTACTGAATTAAGCAGCTGTAAATTGATTTTTTAAAGTTATTATTTATAAAAATATTTGTTATTTTTTAGGTTGTTCCAAAACCAATGAATTCAACATCACAAATAGTGACTACTAGCCAACCACAACAACGGCTTATCATGCCTGCCACACCACTGCCACAGATCCAGCCCAACCTCACTAACCTGCCACCAGGTACTGTCCTGGCACCAGCTCCAGGAACAGGGAATGTGGGTTATGCAGTGCTTCCAGCTCAGTATGTTACTCAGGTATGTGGGGAAAATAAAGGCACTGTTTCAAAAATGGTAGCTGCCTTTACAATGTCTAGCTCTGCCATATTCAAAAGCTAGTCAAAAACATCTAGCTCTATATTAAAGTAGGTCTTTCTGAAATGTTGGAATGTTAATTGAAACATTTGAGTTCCTTTCCATGTTCAACATTTAGAATATATAACAAAAAGCATTTGCACATATGAACTCAACAGTTTTGACAGTGTGCACAAGAAGACCTGCACAAGCTTAAGCCAGACAAAATCTCATCATGGAGAGAGAAGGTGGGCACGAAGCCCCATGCTTAGTGGAGGAGCTTCTGGGAAAGGGAGAGTTAGTTTTCTTTAAGAATGTGACCCCATAGGGGCTGGAGAGATGACTCAGCAGTTAAGAACACTGGTTGTTCTAGTGGAAGACCTGGGTTCGAATCCCAGCACCCACATGGCAGCTAACAACTGTCCATAGCTCCAGTCCCAGGGGATCCGACAGCTTCTTCTGTACTCCGCGTGCATTGCATGGCACAGGTGCACTTACCTACATGCAGGCAATACACTCATACACATAAAATAAAAATAATAAAATATTTTAAAAAAAAGAAGAATGTAACCCCTGGCTGGGCGTGGTGGCACATGCCTTTAATTCCAGCACTCAGGAGGCAGAGGCATGTGGATCTTTGTGAGTTCAAGGCTAGCCTGGTCTACATAGTGAGTTCCAGGCAAGCTGGGGCTACAGAGAGACCCTGTCTCAAAAAGACCAAAAAAATAACTAAATAAAAAAAATTAAAAATCAGAATCCCAGGGGCTAGAGAAATGGTTCAGTGATCAAGAGCACTGGCTGCTCTTGCAGAGGACCTGGGTTTGATTCCAAGCACCCATATGATAGCTAACACCCGTCTTTAACTCCAGTTCCAGAGGATCCAATGCACTTTCTTGACCTCCACAGGCATAACGCTCATACATATAAAATAAAAATAATAATAATAATAATTTTTAAAAAATCAGAAGCCCAATGAATTTAGAAGAGACTGTGACTGCACTAGTGCTCTTTACACACAAATACAATGCCACTGGCTTATGCTTGGAGACTAACACTGTAAGATGCATTTCCAGAGGCCTTTTTGAGCCAGAGTTCATTCTGTAGCCTAGTGTGGCCTGGAGCTGACTATGCCTCAGCCTGCAAAATGCTGGGATTGTAGGCGTGAGCCACAATTTTCTGGCAAATTTCTGGTAGCATATCTTTGAGTGTGTGTGTGTGTGTGTGTGTGTGTGTGTGTGTGTGTGATTTATATATATGTGTGTGTGTACATGTGTTGGGGGACATACTTTTACAGGTGAGCATGTACACATGTGGAGACCAGAGGTTGACACTGGACATCTTCCTTTCTACTTTATATATTTTAGCAAGGTCTCTGACTTAGGCCCAGAACTTTCCAATTTAGCTTGTCTAGCCAACTTCCTCCTGGAATCCCCTATCTCCAGCTTCTATGTACTGGGATTATGGATAGGTCACCACACCTGCCCGGCATTAAATGGGTGCTGGGAATTCAAATTCCAATCCTCACTCTTGGATGGGAAATAGTTTCCCTACTGAGCCATTTCCCCAGCCCCTAAGATGGTATACATTAGTGGTCTGTTCTTACTATCAGGCCATCCTTAGAATGGAAGCCATGTATTACCTTGTGGCTAAGTTAGGTGGGGAATGCTGTTTCCATGAAGCAATGGCAGTTTTTCTTTTAAGGCTCAAGCAAATAAGCACCATGTTCCAAACTGTTGAATTGATGAATTCAAATTGTAAGAGAAGGAATAGAAGCCCACACATGTTCTTTAGTATTTAGCATATATTGGGTGGCTACTGATTTTTTTTTTTTTTTTTTTTTTTTTTAAAATAATGACTGTTGGCAGGGGGGGGGGGCGCACACCTTTAATCCTAGCACTCAGGAAGCATTAAACTCAAAGACCCCCCTGCCTCTACCTCCCAAGTGCTGGGACTACAGGCATGCATCACCATGCCCGACCATTAATTTGATTTTTTTTTTTTTTTTAAGCTCAAAAAACTTTTCTGGCCAGGCGTGGTGGCACACGCCTTTAATCCCAGCACTGGGGAGGCAGAGGCAGGTGGATCTCTGTGAGTTCAAGGCCAGCCTGGTCTACATAGTGAGTTCCAGGACAGCTGGGGCTACAGGGAGACCCTGTCTCAAAAAGACCAAAAAAAAAAACAAAACTTTTCTGGGGCTGTTGAGATGGCTTAGTGGTTAAGAGCACTGACTGCTCTTGCAGAGGACCCAGGTTCTATTCCCAGCACCCACATGGTGGCTACAAATCATCCTTAACTCCAATTCCAGGGGAATCTGAAGCCCTCTTCTGACCTCCGCGGCATTACACGACATGGATGCACTCACATACATGCAGGCAATACACTCACACACATAAAATAAAAATGATATATTTTTTAATTTTTTCTTTATTTTTATTTTATGTGTATGAGTGTTTTCCCTGTATGTATGTAAGTGTACCCATGTCACAGGATTGTTAATTAGCTGTAATATGGGTGCTGGGAACTGAATTCAGGTCCTCTGCAAAAGCAGAGAGTCCTCTTAACCGCTGACCCATCTCTTTAGCCCATTTTTTTTTTAAGGTTTTATGCTTAGAAATCAGTGTTGAATAGAAACTCAACTGTGCATGGACGGTCTCATTTCTGTGATTTGTAATGTGGTAAATACAGTCCCAATTGTACTTACAAGTGGACACATTGATTTTTCTAGTCAATAGAGGTTATTTTGATATTGCAGGATATTCACCTAGAATTTCCTATAATTCTGACATATTCGTCTATGAAGTAATTTTTATATTTGGAGCATATGCTACTGTAAAAAAACAGTGCTATCTTCATGTCTAGTATTGGTTTAGATCTTTGGAAGCACTCCTTATGGTTTATATGAAGTTCTCCATTGTTTTTCCTGTGTTAGTAGACATACTGCCTTCTCATTGTATCTGAGAGTACTGAGAATTTCTGCAAATTCTATAAACTGACCTTTCTTTACCTGTAGCTACAGCAGTCTTCATACGTGTCTATAGCAAGCAACTCTAACTTTACTGGAACATCTGGTACCCAGACACAGGCAAGGCTTCCATTCAATGGGTGAGTATTTTGAAAATATGTAAGTTAAATTATTAAGTCAACTTAAATATAGCACTAAATAGATTTATTCAAATATATCTCATTTGATTTTTTTTCTTAAACCTGTTTATCTGTCTAAAGTGCTCTTTATTTATTTATTTATTTTATTTTATTTTATGTATATGAGTGTATTGTCTGCATGTATGTTGTGCAATGCCCGAGGAAGTCAGAAGACAGCATCAGATCCCTTGGAACTGGAGTTACAAATGGTTGCTAGCCACCATGTGGGTGCTGAGAATTGAACCTGGGTCCTCTGCAAGAGTGGTGTTCTTAATCGCTGAACCATCTCTCCAGCCCCAAATGCTCTTTATTTTGGAATACTTCAAATAGACAAGTTATAGAAATAATCAGTGAACAACACCCTAGTGTCCTTTACCAAGTTGCCATATTTGTTGTTCCGTTTTTCTCTCTTATTCTGAATATTTAAATGGTATTGACTGTGTGCGTGTATGGATTTGGCTTTTTGTCATTGTTCTGTTAATCTGTTAATCTGTACTGCCTTTCCCTGAGCTTGTGAGCAGTGCAGAGTCAGAACAAGCTGGTCCCTTCCCACTGCCCCTTTCTTCACACATTTCTCCCTACCACTTACTGTGATTAAACTCTAAGAATTTTTAGCAATTTTCCACTTTTGCTATCTCAGAGGGAAGAGTATCTTAGAGTATTCTTTAGCACTTGTCCATAACTTTTTTATGTAAATAGAACAACCTAGTAAAGTTGTTAGAGACATATGCATTTGTTAAAGTTTTATTTAAGGAGAATTTATAGATTGAAGACTTTTCTAGTTTGAAATAATTAATTGGTTGAATTGTGTATCTGTTTTTGTGTATCTGGATAGCATAATCCCATCAGAGTCTGCCAGTCGGCCCAGAAAGCCCTGTAACTGCACAAAATCGCTGTGCTTGAAATTGTGAGTAGTTTTATTATTATTTGCTAACTTGATATAATTGGAAATGCTTTTGAAAATAAATGAAACTAGCTGGGCATGGTGTCATACATCTTTAATCTTAGCACTCAGGAAGCAGAGGTAGGCAAATCTGATTTCAGGCCAGCCTGGGCTACATAGTGAGGCCTTGTCTCAAATTTTTTTAAATAAAACAAAGCTGGGTATGGTAGCATGTACCATAATCCTAGCACTTGAAGATAGAATCAAGAGGATCATGAGTTTAAGGTCATCCTCAGCCTCAAAATGAGTTCAAGGAAAGCCTAGGCTACATGAGACCCTGTCAGCGAGTGAGTGAGTGAGTGAGTGAGTGAGTGAGTGAGTGAGTGAGTGAATGAATGAAGATTCCTAACAGACCGGTTTTACTACATCTAAGCAATTTAAATAAGCATACATGCAAATGGTTAAACACATAGAGCAGCATAAAAAATATTCTTCAATCCTAGCACTTGAAGATGGAATCAAGAGGATCATGAGTTTAAGGTCATCCTCAGCTACAGAATGAGTTCAACTGCCTTTAATTCCAGCCCTCGGGAGGCAGATGCAGGTGGATCTCTATGAGGTTGAGGCCAGGCTAGTCTACATGAGTCTCAGACAGGCTGGACTAGGGATACTCTGTGGGATTAAAAAAAATCAAAAACTGAAATGAGTTTGAGGCAAGCCTAGGCTACATGAGACCCTGTCAATAAATAAATAATAAACAAATAAATATAAATAAACAAAAATGAAAATTCCTAATAGATCAATTTTCTTAAATCTAAGCAATTTAAATAAGCATACATGCAAATGGTTGAATACACAGAGCATAAAAATATTCTTCAGTTGGTTCAGAAGAAAGTAAGTTGGGCATGGTGGCTCATACCTATAACCCCAGTGCTGAAGAGATTTAGGCAGGAGGATTGCCTTGTTCAAGGTCATCCTGGGCTATTGTAGTGAGTTCCAGGCTATCCTGGACTACAGTGTGAGGCCCTTTTTGAAAAACAACAAAGAAATATATTGTAAGCAAATACAACATAATTTTAGAGTCTGCCATACTGAGTCATTGCAATAGGGCCTAGCACCATGAGACATAGTTATAGCTTCAATATTGGTAAGTTTGATCTTATTTATTAAGATTTTGAGTCTTCATATGTGATTGACCCTCTGTATGTATTGTTAACTCTGTATCTAGATAACTCTGGTTACATTTCTAAATATACACATATGTAGAATATACATGATATATAATCGGGTAATTGCTAGTTTTATTTAACAATGACGTCTTATCTTTCAGGTATTGTGATTGCTTTGCAAATGGTGAATTTTGCAACAACTGCAATTGTACCAATTGTTACAACAATTTGGAGCACGAAAATGAAAGACAGAAAGCAATAAAGGTGATTTTTTTTTATTTAACTGGCAGAAATCTCCAGTTTTACCTATTTTAAAGAACTCATTGTTTTACAAAGACAAATACTAATTCTTCACCTTTGCAGTATTTAAATTTAATCTTTGATTTAACCTGTTTGTATTTGTTCTATTCTGAAAGGCATGCCTTGACAGAAATCCAGAAGCCTTTAAGCCGAAGATAGGGAAAGGAAAGGAAGGAGAATCAGATCGACGGCACAGCAAAGGGTGTAATTGCAAGCGATCAGGATGTCTTAAAAACTACTGTGAATGCTATGAGGTAAGATGCTGACTGGGAGGATAACCATATTTTGAAAACAGTTTTTGGAAGGACATACTACAGAAATTTACTTGAAAATTAGAAAATAACCTTACTATTACATTTTAAAATATGCACAGTTAGCTCAGGGCCCTTGTTTGAGGAAGGCCTATGGCCTTCCAAGCAGGGCTTTAGAAGAGCCATACCCCAGGCTCAGCATTACAGCATGGCTTTCATTAGCTGGCCTATCAATTTATAACTCCACGGTTGTTTGCATGAAGGTATTTAAATCAGAACACCAGTATATTGATTTTTCATTAAAAGTAATATAATAATGTAGTAACTGCAGTAGTGGTTCTCAACCAAGATACTATACTACCTGCTAGTCTCCATAGGCTTTTCAGATATATATGTGGATATAAAATAGCCTGCATTCTAAGCTACAATCCTGAAATTGAAGTTTATCTTTATTAGACTACCAGTAGTACCCCCTTCAGGATTTCTGCTCTATGGAAAACTAAATCTTTTAAGGAGCTTACTGTGTGAGCATAAATACAGGAAGGGAGGACTGTGGAATATTGCTGCATGAGATGACTGCATCCACCCTCAGTGTTTCTTTGCCCACTCAGCTGGCTAGTTTATTAATGGGTCGGCTCTCCTCTCTGGAAAATGTACTTGGAACTCTGTTTTGACAGATGACATGTAAAACCATCCCCTGCTTACTTCACAGAAGGTGTTACGCAGTCTGTCATTTTTATTTTCAAAGCTTAAATATAATAATCTACCCTGCCTGATATTAACCCTTGGGTTGAGTCATTCCTGTAGTTAGGCTTTTCTATATTTTCATTCATTCAAATGTCATTTTTAGAGAGAAACTTTTTTTTTTCTCTTCAATTTTGACAGAAAGCCTACCTTTCACTTGGTAGAATAACACTGCTGATGGGTACACTCTCCCATGGATGGGTGTCTCTTACGTTTCTAGTGTCCTCTCCCATATAAAATGTATCACACTAAGATTTTTGTGTGCTATATTCTATGTAATGAATTCTTTGTGAATTTACTCTTTAAAAAGTCAAGTACTGGTTGGAGATACGCCTCAGTGATAGAGCACTTGCCCAGCATGTGCAAAGCCCTAAATTTGATCCCCTTGTACCACCAAAATTAATTAGTAAACTTAAAAAGTCAAGTACTCTCCAAAAGTAGGAACTAACATCTTATAATTCCACAGTCAAAATCTGTGAAAATATATAAACTCAGGATTAGTTTTTAATTATTTCATAGCAGCTTAAAGTCCAACAGGCTAGTTTCTCATACAGTATTGGAGTAGTTTCACTTTTTTGTTAACAGGTACTTGGCTCATTTATGTTTATAAACCACATCATAGAAAATTTGTAATGAATATGTTTTAAAACATGCATATATTTTTGGATTTGAAAGGCATTAAATCAAGTCTACAAAAAGAGAGAAGATGGATCAATGACCTACCTATAAAGCTATATCAGAGGGGCAAAGCCAGTTCATGTATATGGCATTGAACTATCGGTAACAAACTAGCTTATAAACATCAAACATGCATATACTAATCATTTAATTCAACTGTTAACAGTCTTTGAATTAGTAGAAGTAGAAAAGATAATGGGTTGGTTGGAAAGTGTTAGAATGAAGCTGTGTCAGAACAGCTGTCTGATAGCTGATTTGTCATTCCAGAAGTCACTTACCAAAAAAACAGAAAAATTTAGACTATTCTAAACTATGAATAGCAGTGGCTAATTGGCCAGTTGAGTTAGTGATGTCATGTCTTAACAGTTCGTGTTGAATTTCTGTTGATACCCTTACTCTTCAGATGAACTGGCTTGGGTCCCATTGGTTTGCATCTGGACAACACATTCAAGTATTTTTTACCTGCCTTTCCTGAGCTTCTATTAGTATTTTTAATGTGGTTCTTAAAACAATCCAAATTTGGGGCTGGAGAAATGGGCTCAGCAGTTAAGAGTGTTTGCTGCTCTTTCAGAGGATCCAAGTTCAGTTCCCAGCATCCACTTTAAGCAGCTTGCAACTGCCTTTAACTCCAGCCTGGGAACTCTGACACCTTCCAGCCTTTCATGCACCTGTATACACCTGGTACACATACACAAAAATCTTTTTTTTTTTTAATTCAAATTTCCACCATTGATATGTCTCCTCTACTCAAAGGCCAGTGGTTTTCTCTCTTCATCATTAGGTGTATAGTGTTCTTTTTTAAAAAAAATATTTTATTTATTTTTATGAGTATTAGTGTTTTGTCTGCATGTGTGTAAGTGCACCCACGTCACACAATGCCCACAGAAGTCAGGAGAAGGTATCAGATTCCCTCAAACTGGAGTTACAGACAGTTGTTAACTACCATGTGGGTACTAAGAACTGAACATGGGTCCCCTGCAAAAGTAAGCTGAGCTCTTAACCATTGATCTCCATCCCCACGATAAACAGTTCTTACTGCATATACAGTTTATAGTAAA